TTCTACATGTTTCGGTGCGGTTCGGTTTGGGTAAATGAAAAAATTCGGTTTTCGGTTTTTTGCGGTTCGGTGCGGTTTTGCACCGAACCGCACCATGCTCACCCCTAGTTCCCGCTACTGCAAGAACGAAGCGAAGCGAAGTGAAGATCAAATCAAAGAGAGGTTCGACAAAGTTAATAACGGGACTTGGGTCGAGCCTCTCACGATATGGAAAAAAAGCCCTATCTCTTCTACGAACTCACCAGAGAAAAGAGAGAGGATTGAACCGGTCGAGTTCTCGTTTTTTACTTTCTGACTTCGCTCGCATATTTGGTCCTGCTAAAAGCGAAAAACTGATTCTTAGGTAGCGTAGAATTGAAAGTCTTTTGTAGTTGTCAAAGAAAGCTACTGCCGTTTCCAGTAATCATCTGAAGCACGCACTTGCTATCAACCTCCACAAGAAGAAGAACAAAAGAAGACTTATGCGGCTTTCTTGATTGCCTTGCCTCTACATCGGCTAATTTGGTTAATTCCTTATGCGCAGTCATCTTATTCTTTATTAGAAAGAAAAAACCAGCAGTCAAGACTAGTCACATTAGTGAAACAAGTGATTCGCTGACATTCAATTCAAATAGAAAGAGTAGTCACAGCTGCGACAAGTTCCTCTAAGAGGAAGGAGGTTTGGAACCCTAATACAACAAGCATCAATTCTCGAGCCCCGCTGTTATCTGCTACGTTTAAATGAGTTTGCGGTTGAATCATATTAATTTTGTAGGCTATTCTTTCAACAAATTGGCTCTTGACTTTGATTTTGTTTTTGTTACGCGACCTACATCCCTTTGTGGACGACCTAAAACTATTGGACCTGTACGCTTGGTTGCAGCTGCTCGAAGAGCCAAAGATCGCTCACCCAGCCCAGAACTCGAACAGGGGACGAGCGGGGGTGCCCTTCAGACGATTCACCAGAATTTTGGTGAACAATTTATACACAACTAATGAAATTGAATTAAAAAAATGACTTGGTTAAAAATAATTGAACAAAAAAAAACTAATTAAACCATTTCCAATCACCCTAACATTTTCCTTGTCTAAAATGAGACAAAATTTCACACAATAATTGTTGAGAGTGGGCTCATAAATCATCCTATCCAAGCAAATCATCATCCTATGAGGCACTTTAATTCCCTTTTGAGTTGTTTTTCTTACTTTTTTTGGCCTGAAGTTGGGTCTAGTAATTTAGGATCTGTCATGCTTAGTAAATCATTATAACAGCTTTTGATTTTGTTTATCCTTTTTTTATTGTGGACCACTTAATTGTACATAATTGTGTTTGTTTGCCAAATATTTTGCATAATTGCACTTAATTAAAATACAATAAGCATGAAGTATATATTTGTCTAACTAGCATGCCTAACAACAGTCTTATCAATAATCATCTATGACAATATATACAACCTATACTATTCTGAAGGGTTAATTGCCAGAAAAATCCCAACCTTTTGTTTAATTGCACATAAAACTCAACATTTTCAATTTAGCACCAAAATACAAACCTTTTTTTAAGTATTGCAATATTGGCTCAAAGTTTTATGTGCAATTAAACAAAATGTTGGGATTTTTCTGGCAATTAACCCTATTCTCAATGATAATAGCAGAAAAAAAGGGGTTAAATTCTGATTCCAGCAGTCTATTATTAAGTTCTATAATCCCAATGTGTATTCTGTTTACAGAGGGTAAAGAAAAACGAGGAAAGCTACAAAAGAAGGACCGTGAAAGAAACTCGACTATGAGCAAATCGAGTAGCATTCGAGTTAGGAACGTAAAGTAGATAACATGCATGAAATTTATTCCCTTTTATCCTCTTCTAAATCCTCGACTAGACCAAACACATGATCTGATGAAATCGAAACCTTCCTTTCTTTCAAGTCGCCCGCCACTATAACACCTGCCCCAGTCAGTGATAAACCCTCTTCATCATCATCGCCAGTTTCATATGCATACCTATGATCGAACACGACTCGTTTTTAAGAATTTATCAATAAATTCTACTACTATAGGGTGTAAGTAAATTTTCACTGGATTATTCAAAATACTGTTCTTTACCACATCCAGAACATCGACTCATTAGCAACACCAATTAACCAAAAAAAAAAAGGAGCAAATTCGAAATTACCGAGTAGGATTATCGGAAGGAGCCAATAGGATGCATATAACCACCAACAATATATAGGCAAGCAAAGTCCAAAAAGCTGGGATTATCCACGCTCTTCGCCACAATTCACTTAGGGGGTCACTGGCATTGAAATACAACTGAACAAGCAAAATTAAGAGCAGTCACGAATTTACCAACCCGTACAAAACAAGAACCCATGATTCTTTCTTTATAATGTTTTACTTTAGTGAATTCTTTTGGTGTCTGCATCATATTTAAGTTTATGTAAAGGGTAAGTCAAATTGCATTTCAATGTGAAGAATTTGACAACCATGGCCCAAATTAATTTCTTAAGCTTTGCTTGTTTATCATATTTCTAGAAAAAAACTATAAAAAAATCCATCTAAATTTAAAATCTAACTCAATTTTAACTCAACCCCACTATCCTCAATTTTATCGATATAGTTAAATAATATCATTCAATTATTCTTACACATCAAATCAACTTTAATTCACTATTCATACACTCACATAATTGTAACTACCTATCATTTCCAATCATTTATCTCCTACTTTTGCATCAAATCAAATTTAATCATTTTATTTAAATATTATTTTAATACAAACTTAAACTCCCACTAACAACTAACCATACAATCTTTTTTCGAATACACTCTAGTTAACACAAAAAAAAATAAAAAAACCAGTTTTTTTTTTCTAATTTGTTTTTATAAACAAGCACGGCCTTAATGGTTTTGTGACATAGAACTTTAGAGGGCTTTTTAAGTCCGAGTAAACTACCTCATATCCGATCCAAGCAACTGAAAGCAGAACAGACACAGCTAGAGCATTGGTGAACTTTCGGTAAAGCTCGAGTTTTGCCATGCTTCTCCGTATCTAAATCCAAAAACGCAAAACAAAGGAGTTTCTAAGCTTTTTCACTAATATCCAAGGCAACAAAACTTACCAGTCCTCACAATGCTCTAATCAAGGACTTACAACAGAAGCCTTTGAACAATCCACAAAGTACAAAAAAAATGGTGAAATTACCTGAAGCTTCTCCAGAGTTTTGGATAACGACGAAAAAATCCAAACGATAAAGCACGCATCCAAAAGTGCCACTGGCAGAACCAAAAAAAGCCTGGCTTTCCCCGCGAAATCGTTTATATTCCCCAAATGCTCGACAAGTTCCAAAGCTTCTGATGCCATAAAGTACAACACGCCAAGAAGAATCACTTTTGCAGTTATACCCCCCAATGTTGGTCTCATCACACCATAACCCATCGAGACCACGAGCAGAAGAAGCCGAGACACTGTTTTCTTAATCGCACTAAAAGTAACTGCCCAAAGCGTAATCCCAATAGGTCTACTTCCAGTCGAGTTGAAATTCGCGTACTCATAGTACCAAAAGGCCATCTCGCACATCCCGAGCCCAATGACAGCTGTTATTTGATAATGCAGCTGAATTATATCTTTCCAGTGTTGAACAAATCTCATGAACCATACCAGTCCAAGAACAAGGTAGGCTAACGACATGAACCCGTAAAAAGTCATTAAAGGCGCCATTTTACCCGGTAAATAGCCTTCGGGATTTCTCCACACTGTTCTTCCACTAATTAAAGTGCCCTTTAGTTCAGGGTCACAGATCATGAAATACAGATAGTACATTCCGGTTTTATTTATCTCAACTGATTGGAGAACCATGCTAGCCTCTTCGTTGTTCCCCTCGAAAGATGTTTGTAGCTTCTTGGGCCATTCTGGGTTTTCGGGATTTTGGCGAATGATGACCTCACCGACTTTGCAAAACCCGTCCTTGGCGAGGGCCGGGTCGCAACATATGGCATTTGAGTTCCCGTAAGTTGTCCCGATTTTGTCACTGTCTTTGACCTCGACGATTATGGTCTCAACTACTCCAGTGCTTTGCTGCATCTGGTTTTGCTTGCTGGCTACTTCTTTCGGTCTCCTAAACGTGATTGATTCGAACCTGAAAGAAGACAAAAAAAAAAAAAAAATGGCTTAAAGAAGAGTCGTGTGTGTGTGTGTGTGTTTTCTTTCTGGAGCTTAGATGATTTTTAACTAACGAACATGTGAAATAATTTGGGCCCGTGATTAACAAGAGAAGAAAGTGTCACAGTTTCATTTCTTAACAGATTTAGAACTCATAAGCAAAGACTTAAAAAAAATATATATTTTCAATGATTGGTTTAATGGATGGTAAATGTCCATTGCAAATGGAGCTGGAAGAGTCATTGTCGACAATTCTCCTGGCATAGTGCTAATAATGGACTAGATCAAAATGACTCAATTAAATTCTAGTGCTTCTTCTATCAGTGAAGTTTCTAGAAAAAAAATATATCAAACGACGCAATGCACCTTGGGTCGCTACGGAAACAGCCTCCTTGTATAGTTACAAAGGTAACGTCTGCGTACAACTGACCCCCAAACCCAACCAGTTGGGAATATACTGGGTATGTTGATTGATTGATTGATTGGTTTAATGGATGGTAAATATTGAAATTGACCATAACTAAAGACCTGAATAATGAAAAGAATAAGATCTCATTTTTAACAAGACTTGTTGAGAGATCATTATCCGCAGAACTCCAAAAAGTGCAGGATCACAATGTAATATTAATATCACGATTCCAATTAATTTCGACTAATCTCTCATTAATATTTAGCCAGCACGGAAAATGCATACCTGCGCATAGTGGAACCTCCACGTGGTGTTAATATGTTAATTTTCATTAAAAAAAAAAAAAGAGGAACAGTGCAATCTTAAATATTCAACTCAATTATCAAGCGTAAGTCACCAGTAATGGAAATCTCATATGATGTCAACTCCTTTTTATTTTGTAAAATAAAAACTTCCATTGATACACTCATGAGAGAATGTATCTTACCATGACCAGTAACAGAACATCTACGAGAGATTGACGGTTTTGATATCATAAATCACAGCTCACAATTGAGGTATCAGTGACGTAATCAGTTACACAGTTTTTACCCAATTGCCAAAATTGGATTCAAATAATCGAAAGCATGCAAATGTATCATCCACATTTAGCTTCAAAGTTCAAACCAGCAACAAATGGATACTAAATGTTTCACAATGCCCAGATCTCTTGTCGGTTTTTGCTCATCTACCAACTTATACGCTATTGACAGTTACTTGCAAAAATATAGATCCCCCCACTAGAAAAATCATACATTCAGATGCTCAACGTGCCTGAATCTCGTTTGCTCTAATATGTGTTGCAGACATGCCCCTAACTTTGAACTTATGCACCTACCAAAAGCTACAATTCAGTTAACCCAAAACAAAACTAACATTTTACAGAACAACGAGAATTGGGAATCGACAAATGAAAACCTCACACAACACACCAAACAACAAGTCGAGCACTCTGCACACACTAATACACAACAGACCAAGAAAAACAACCCCACTAGAAATTCTGCATACGGATGCTCAACGTGTAAAAATCTCGTTGCCACTAATTTTGTAGCAGACTTGCACCTAACTTTGAACTCTGTAAATTGTAATAGATCTAGCGAAAGCTGGGTTGTATCCTCCCAGAGCCACAATTCAGATAACCCCAAAACAATGAACACTTTACAGTAACAATGAAAATTGGGAATCAACAAATGAATAACCTCACACAACACATCTGCACACAACAACAAAGAACAAGCCAACAAGCAGAACCCCATCAATCCAAGATATACAAAAAAATCATTTTTCGTTGAGCAGCACTTAATCCGAGCACTCTGCCACACACTAACACACAACAAGCCAACAAACATAATCCCATCAACCCCCCCAAAAAAAAAACCCTCTTCATTTAACAGCACTTAACCCGACAAAAAAAAGGTAAACTTTCAACAAACTCCGACGAAATAGTTCTCGATACCTGATGAATGATTTCCCATTGAGGGGCTTGTTGCCATCATCGTTAGCAGCTGTTTTGGGCGGGTCAACGATCTTGGACGCGTAAAGCCCCTCACTGCCGCCATGGAAGAAGTAGGAATTGAAACGACGGATGAAAGCTTCGTTCTTGTACTCATGGATCGACGCGCTCACCCCATTTTCTCTCACCGAGAAACAAAGCAACAAAACCCCAAAAACTAATGGGATTTTCTTTCTGCCATTAAGCAACAGATCACATTGCGTGCCTCTGCCAGACAACATTTCCGCTTAAAATCTATAAAAATCTAAAGAAAACAATTAAATAAGCATTAGGGTCTCAGTATTATAGGCTGATAGTGTAGAAAAGGGAGGTGGAAATTGTTGGGGATGGAAGAGGAAGATGAAGATCTCCGACTACGAGAGTATTACCACAGTTTTCTTGTACTTTTGCAGCTTATTTTGCTTTCCTTTTTTCTGGAAATGTTTATTTTACAAAAAAAAAAAAAAA